CCCAGCCAGCTCCGCCGGGACCTCCACAGAGACCTATTTTGGTTTCCCAGAGTGCGGTTGTTGCAAATGAAGGCCTGGACAGTTCGAAGCTGCCGTTCTAGGAGCAAGCCAACCCAATACCCGGGCAGGACACCAGCAGGCCCCACAAAAAGTCACTGTCTCGTTAGGACACGGGCTGTCCAGAAGGAAGAGGTGCGAGAACGGGCAAAGGTGTGCTTTCCGAGAGTGCTGGGGTCCTCTGTCAGACCGCAGCAGGGTGCTGAGGTGGGAGGGGGATGAAGCAGCTGGGGGGTCGGGGGCAGGGCAGAGGCCTGGGCTCCCGGCAGGGATGGAGGGGAAGGGCGGGGCGGGGCGGGGCGAGGCTGGTGCCAGGCTTCCTTCCACAAGTTCCAACCACATAGCCCTGGCTGTTTACCAAACTTGAGAAATAAAAAAAGAAGAGAAGGAGCAGACTTGGAAATAAAAGCCTGAAAAGTCCTCTGTTGACCAAGTTTGACCAGCGCAAATTATGGCACTGAGGACGCTGGAATCTTATTTTTTATTTTTTTTATTATTATTATTTTAATTATTGTTCAAGTACAATTTTCTGCCCTTTATCCCCATCCCAGCCCACCACCAGTCTTCCCCACCTCCCTCCTGTCTCCACCCCACCCCCCTTGTTATTGTCCATGTGTCCTTTATACTAGTTCCTTCAAACCCTTCCCCTCTCCCCTCTGGTCACTGTCAGCCTGTTCTCTATTCGTACCAAGAACTCTGAGACGCCCCCCCCCTCCCCCGCCCCCGTATTTGCAGGAAGAAACTGCCAGGCTCCAGCAGATGGAAATTTTCAGAAGCCGCCCCCCCCCCCCCCCCCCCCCACCCACCCCCCCCCCCCCCCCCCCCCCCCCCCCCCCCACCCCCCACCCCCCCCCCCCCCCCCCCCCCCCCCCCCCCACACCCACACCCACACCCACCCCCCCACCCCCCCACCCCGCATCGAAGGAGGCTTGCAGAGCTCACCAAACAGAGCCTGGTAAACAGTAAACTGGCTCATTGGTTTAGAGAGCAAGCATCTTTAGAAGAGTTTTAAGATATTCTTGAATCCATTGTAAACATTATCAAAAGTGTTTAATCTCTCATAAGCCCAGTACTTTTATACAATGGTAACTTCATTTCTAAATGTGCCTTCCAATCTTAATCTATATAGATCTAAACATTTATACTGTTTTAATCACAGTATTATTAGATTTCATCTGTACCCATCCTGATATTCCATAAACAGTTTTTCATGTTTTTATATTGCTCATGTTAATTCTAATACTAGCATTCATTTCATTGTGTTCAATACCACAGATTTCTTAACCAGATTATTAAAAAATAGTTTTTCACTATTATAAATAATGTTGCAACAAACAAAAAATAAGTCTCATGGATTATAAATGTATTTCCTAGATGGAGACTCTGTGGTCTGCCTTGGTCATAGCAGTTCAGGATTATGGAGGTGGAGACAGAGTCTGGCTTGTCCCCAAGGTCCTGCCACTGAGCCAGGCTCACTCGTAGGGCAGCTTCATGAACCTCCAACTGTGATGTCTAGGTGCCCTTTGTTTCCAGGTTACTCACTAAGAAAGCCTCATTTCATTCCATGTATCACATGCTCACATGTTTCTTTGTAGCCTACCATTTGAATTTTATCATATGGGAGGAGAAAGGGGGAGAATGGGGAAAAAGGTACAGGGATTAACAAGCATAAGTGGTAGGTACAAAACAGGGGGAGGTTAAGAATAATATGGAAAATGAAGAAGCCAAAGAACTTATATGCACAACCCGTGGATATGAACAGGGAGAGATTGCCGGAGGGAAGTGGGGTACCTGCCAGAGAGGTGCAAAGGGGGGAAATTGGGACAACTGTAATAGCATAATCAATAAAATACATTTTAAAAACTACTTGTAAATTTTTAAGATTTTTTCTTGAAATATTGAAGGAGACAATGATTAACCTCTTTTCTCTGACATTACTTTTGATAAGAGTTTGTCAGTGGTATTAGGGTTAAATTAGAATTGATGTCCACTAAGCAATAAAGACAAAATAGAGCTCTCAAAAAAAGTGTCATGCCTTTAAACTATTATATCCTCAGGAATGATGGAATGTGTACCTATTTTTGGAAGGTTGCCCTGCAAACTCTTTTAGAGATGATTTCTGAGGTTATGCAAAATTCAGGAAAGTTGCCAAGTATAGAATCAATACATAAAAATTTGTTGACCACATGAAGACACAGGGAGAAGACAGTCATTTACCAACCAAGGAGAAGCCTCCAAAGAAACCAGCCCTGCTGACACTTTGATCTCGGACTTCCAGCCTCCAAAACTATGAGAAAATTAAATTCTGTTGTTTAAATCACCCAGCCATGCAGATCTAGCAAAATAATACACACTGCTCCCACCAGGAGCCCACTAGGGACACAGACCACTGACTATGGTGTGGGAGAGGCCAGAGGCTGAAATTCTCGTTTGAGACAGGGATCCCAAGCAAAGTTCCAAATGTGGAGTAGGATGTTTTACAATGTAAACCTCAAGAAGGACTATATCTGCTGAGATAGACTCCTTGTGGTTAACTGGACACAAATTCATAACCAGAGTCTAACAGTCATTGCTGACAGAGGCCTCTTGTGCACCCTGCATTTCAGGGAATAACCATAGACTGAGCTGCCAGCCTTCCGTACTGTATTCCTGCTGTCTGAGTTACCCTTTATGAGGGAGTTCCTGGTATCATCTTCCAAACAATGGGCTGAGGCCTACCCCAATTTGGAACTGCACAGTGATAGCCTCGTTTGCATCTAAGATTTTACTTATTTTTAGAGACGGGGAAGGGAGGCAGAAAGAAAGGGAGAGAAATATCAATGTGAGAGAGAAACATTGATCAGTTGCCTCTCACATGTGCCCCAACTAGGACGAACTCACAACCCAGGCATCTACATTGACCAGGAATTGAACTGGCAACCTTTTGGTCTGTGGGACAATGCCCAGCCAGCTAGGCCACAATAGTCGGGGCTCATTTGCAACTATACTGACCAGTAAGAGCAGGTTCATAATGATCAATCAGAACATGTGATGCCAAACAATCAGGATAGTACTATTTGGACCAATCAGACTGTGCACATTTGGATTCTTCATTTGCATAAAAATTGATAAATCAGAAACCAAGACAGGCCATTTCTATATAAAAGGCAGACTCTTTTTCTCCGCAGACACTTTGAATTACCGGGAGAGGCTGCATTTCCCCATTTTGTGAACTGTTCAGCTGACTAAAGTCTCTCCTTTTTCCATGCCTCAGACTGGGGACTTTTGTTAAAAATAAGCAGAGGAGGCTCTTGCTTTTGCTTGGATTACTTCTAGTCTCTGGTTATATATGTCTGTATGGTAACCACAAATAGATTAAAGAATTCTGGAGCCCTCTTCCAAGTTCTCTCAATTGTTTATGTTCAATAGTTCTCTCAGGGTCCTAAAGAATGGGGTTGGAGGGCACCCTGAAACACACCTGTGCTTAAATTTTCCTCATATTCGGGAGGCATAGATCCTCAAGTGAAGCTTAATTTGACTTAGAAAAAAATTAATGTCATATTTCATGGACAAAGGGGTCATAGAGTTGAGTTACCTGATAGCTAGAAGCATATTACTCTGTGTTTTCCCCACCTTTATTAAGGTCCCATTTAATGCTCCACCTGGTTCACTAGACTGCAGGAAAATAATAACAGGCCAACATCCACTTTTGTGTGGTAAGGAGACACAGAACCCCCTGTGGTTGGCATGGGAATGGTGTGTCTAGGCCAATTGGTATTAGGAGTCAAGAATTGGGGCTACAAGTTCCAGCTACTCATTGCCTTTAGAAGCTGCTTTCTCTATTCCCAGCTGTGGAGTGTATGAAGTAAAGGGTTAAGTCAGAGAGCTATAGGTGCTCACAGCCTGCACATCCCAAAGAAAGAATTGGACCTGATTGGTTCCTGAGAGGTGACCTTTGAGCCTTTGGGATATCTTGTCTGATAGAAGTATCTGTATAGTTGGAATTTTGAGCCATGCCAGGTAGTCTATACTGACAGGATAATCTATAATGAATGCCTGTTTTTGTACACTGGGGCCTTGGACCATGCTATATTATTCTGACCTCTAGGTCAGAAGAATGAGTAATTAAGGTCAATAGGTACTCTGTTGCTACACAACCTGCCCCCAGTAAAAACCCTGCCCTGGCTAGTGTGGTTCAGTGGATTGAGCACTGGCCTGTGAACCAAAGGGTAGCCAATTCAATTCCTAGTCAGGGCACATGCCTGGGTTGCCACTGAGTCCCCAGTAGGGGGTACATGAGAGGCAACCACACATTGATGTTTCTCTTCCTCTCTTTCTCCCTCCCTTCCCCTCTCCAAAAATACTTAAATTAAATTAAATTAAATTAAATTAAACCCTGGACCCCAAGGCTCAGGTGAGATTCCCTAAGCTGGCAATGCTTCGTGTGTTGCCATGCATTGTTGGTAGGAGAATTAACCACCAGCCATGCAATTCCACTAAGGAGGGACCATTGGAAGCTAACATCTGATATCCCCTGGACCCTGCCCTATGTGCTTCTTGCCTTTGCACATTGATTTTAATCTGTGTCCTTTCACTGCAATAAACCATAAACATGAGCACCACAGTTTTTCTGAGTTCTGTGAGTCCTTCTGGCCAATCATGGAACCTGAAGGTGGTCTTGGGGATCTTCCAACACAGAGGCCATGGATATTGTTTGATTATGAGAAATAGTGGTTTTCCTTTCACCTCCTTCAATTATGCAGCTCCTTCAGAAAATAAGGAACATGAGCTGACACCTCACCTTGTTGAACCTTAAGCTTCCTGTACCCACAACCCCAGGGAAAACATTTCCACCCTGTTGACCACCAGCCTCCTTCAGTGTCCTCCCACCACCACCCTCCCAAATTCTCAGCATAGGCTCAGAGAAAAACGAAGACCATGGATATCCTTTCATTACTGCTCCTTTATCTCTGTTTCCCCCAAACATGCCAGACAGAACATGTGTTCAGTGCACAGTCATTCAGGCAGTGGGTCTTTCCCAGGACACCACTCACATGGCACTCTCATTGCCACCCCGTCCCCTGGATGCCCCCTTCTCTTGTGCCATGAGTGACTTGTAGGGCTTCCCCAGGCTTGGGAGAGTGAGCTCAGCTTCCTGCAGCTCCAACTCCCGCTGAGACAAATGTTCAATGACGGCTGCTCCGATGGAGTCCCCCAGCACATTGGTCATTGTGCGAAATCGGTCACTGGGGGAGAAGAGAAGAGAAAATTAACCATTAAGCTCCACTAACCAAGGCTTGAAGAGCACCACAGGGAGAGAATGAAGCTGAGGGGGTTTTCAGTGTCTGAAAACTAAGAGTTCACATTGCAGTCCAAATCCTGACCAATGCCCCATCCCCTCTTTCTCCTCAGTTTCCCCTCCTAACAGATGTAGAATGGACCAGCTCTGGTATGCTCATATTTGATGTCAGCAATGCAAATTTTTTAAAATATATTTCATTGATTATGCTATTACAGTTGTCCCATTTCCCCCTTCACTCCCCTCCACCCTGCACACCCTCTCCCACCCACATTCCCCCCTTTAGTTCATGTCCAAGTGTCATAAGTTCTTTAGTTTCTACATTTTCCATACTATTCTTGCCCTCCCCCTGTCTATTTTCTACCTACCCTCTATGCCACTTATTCTCTGTACCTTTTCCTCCTCTCTCCTCCTCCCACCCCCCTGTTGCTAACCCTCCATGTGATCTCCATTTCTGTGGTTCTGTTCCTGTTCTAGTTGATTGCTTAGTTTGTTTTTGTTTTTGCTTTAGGTGTCATTGTTAATAATTCTGAGTTTGCTGTCCTTTTGCTGTACCTGTCTTTTATCTTCTTTTTCTTAGATAAGTCCCTTTAACATTTCATAAAATAAGGACTTGGTGATGATGGACTCCTTTAACTGTACCTTATCTGAGAAGCACTTTAGCTGCCCTTCCATTCTAAATGAAAGCTTTGCTGGATAGAGCAATCTAGTATGTAGGTCCTTGCCTTTCATGACTTGGAATACTTCTTTCCAGCTCCTTCTTGCCTGCAAGGTCTCTTTTGAGAAATCAGCTAATAGTCTGATGGGAACTCCTTTGTAGGTAACTGTCTCCTTATCTCTTGCTGCTTCTTGGATTCTCTCCTTCATTTTTACCTTGGCAAATGTAATTATGTTGTGCCTTGGTGTGTTCCTCCTTGGGTCCAACTTCTTTGGGACTCTCTGAGCTTCCTGGACTTCCTGAAAGTATATTTCCTTTGCCAGATTGGGGAAGTTCTCCTCTATTATTTGTTTAAATAACTTTTCCACTTGTTGCTCTTCCTCTTCCCCTTCTGGTACCCCTATATTAGGATGTTGGAATGTTTAAATATGTCCTGTAGGTTCCTAAGCCTCTCCTCATTTTTTTGAATTCTTATTTCTCCATTCTTTTCTGTTGATTGTTTCTTTCTTCCTTCTGGTCCACTCTATTGATATGAGTCCCAGTTTCCTTTCCATCACTCTTGGTTCCCTGTGCATTTTCCTTCATTTCACTTAGTGTAGCCTTCATTTTTTCATCTAATTTGCAATCTGTGAGCATCCTGATCACCAGTGCTTTGAACTGTGCATCTGATAGGATATCTCTTAGTCACTTAAAAGTATTGGCTCTGGGGCTTTGATTTGTACTTCCGCTTGAGACATTTTTGGGGGGGTCTGGTTGGGCCTGTTATGTAGTGGGGAGTGGAGCCTTAGGTGTTCTCCAGGGCAGGGCAACCCCGGTTGCTGTGTTATGATGTTGTATGTGGGCGTGGGGTCCAAGAGGAAACAATGGCGCCTGCTCCTCTCTCCATCGGATTTCAGTCCCTTCCGCCGCTTCCCCCAAGCTAACTGGGCCTTTTTGGTGCTAATTCCCACGTGGGTGGGCTTGTGTACATTCTAGGACCCCATGGGTCTCTTCAACGCACTCTCCTGTGAGGCTGGGAGTCTCTCCCTGTGCCTCAACTCCCACAGGTGTTTTCAGTCAGTGTCCCAAGGTTCTATTTCCTGGCGCTGGGACCCTGGGTTGCACGGTCTGTCACACTGCCCAATTTTGCCTGGTTTATCTGTGCACAAATGTGGCTCAGACAGCCAGGTGCCTTGCTTGCAGTGCCTCGCTTCACATTTGCAGCCTCACTGAATCTGCCAGCCACCTGCCCACTGTGGTCTTGTGCTTAGGATGCCTTACGTACCCGGGATGCATTATGCATCTGGTGCCACCACTTTTTGTGCCTTGACCCCTCTCCTCCTGGCTGCCTGACTCCACCCCTCCTACCGGTCTGGATGAATGTGTCTATTTTAACTCCTTGGTTGTCTGACTTCCATACAGTTCAATTTTCTGTCAGATATGGTTCTTATCTTGTTTCTAAATTGTTGCTGGCCTTATTTTGGTTGTGCAAGGAGGCACAGTGTGTCTACCTATGCCTCCATCTTGGCTGAAAGTCAGAAATGCAAATTTTTTAAGGATGTAAACATCCTTATAAAAAATATAAAAAATTAGTGGTTGTGAGCTGAACAGCATACAGAATGAGAAAACCCAGGCTCATTTTATCTAAACTTCCTGCTTTTAAAAAATTTTTCTTTTTTTAAGAAATTTTATTACATTATTTATTTATTTATTTATAGAGAGGCAGGGAAGGAAGGAGAAAGAGAGGGAGAAAAACATTCATGTATGGTTGCCTCTCACACACCCCCTGCTGGGGACCTGGCTGGCAACCCAGTCATGTGCCCTGACTGGAAATTGAACCAGCAACCCTTAGGTTCACAGGCCGGTGCTCAATCCACTGAGCCACACCAGCCAGGGCTTTCTTGTATTTTTAAAATATGTTTGTTGAGCCCTGGCTGGTGTGACTCACCAGACTGTGAATTGAAGAGTCGCTGATTCAATTCCCAGTCAGGACACACGCCTGGGTTGCCTAGCCAGGTTCCTGGTTGGAGGCATGTGAGAAGCAGCCAATCACATGTTGATGTTTCTATCCCTCTCTTTCTCCCTCCCTTCCCCTCTCTATAAAAGTGAATAAATAAAATCTTGAAAATTTTTTTAAATAAATAAAATGTATTTATTGATTTTACAGAGAGAGCAAGGAAGAAAAAGAGAAACATTGATCAGCTGCCTCTCATATGTGCCCCAACTAGGGACCAAACCCACAACCTAGGTATGTGCCCTGACCAGAAATCGAACCCCCAACCTTTTGGTATACAGAATAATGCTCCAACCAACTGAGCCACACAAGCCAAGGCTAAACCTCTTGTTTTAGAGTTGAAGACTTTTAAAAAATATATTTGCAAGCCAGCTCTGTCCCCCAGATCACCTTTTTGACTTCTACATAAAACAGGTAAAAAGAGGGCCTTTCCAGTTGATAGGAAAAGCCTCCATCATCTGACTCTTCTCTGCCCTACTTCCCAAGGTTAATTTTATGGAATTTGGGGTTCAGAGGCCATGATTTGGAGCATTCTCCAAGGGCCCTTTTCACTCTAAAATTCCAGAACTCTGTGTGCTGGCAGGAATGGGAGCCCATAGGTTGGGGGTCCTGAAGGGAAAGCAGGGGCTGAAAGAGAGATAGCAGCAGGGTCTGAAGGACACTCACAGGAACCAGTCCACAGCTATGATCAGCGTGATGTCTTCAGTGGGCAGGCCAACTGATGTGAGCACAATGACCATGGTGACCAGACCCGCCTGGGGAATGCCAGCAGCCCCAACACTGGCTGCGGTTGCTGTGATACTACAAATGGAGAGAGAACATAGGGAGGCAGGAGGAGGAAAGGAAGAGATGAGAAAGAGGGAAGAAAGGTATACAGAAAGGAAGGATTGAGTTCCTCAGGGCATCTTAAATTAAAATCCCCCATAAAAAAGCAAATCCAAAGTGACTTTCATTAAATACCAATGCAAATAGGTCTTTTCTGCCTTTGCCAGGATCTGGTTGGAAGTCCATCTACAATGGACTTTTGAACACTGAGACAACTCATGTTGTAGATGCAAAAGTAAGCATTTAACTCAGCTGCTTTGTGGGCTGGAAGAGGGCAGAAGAGATCATGGGCAGCACTGTGAACCAGGAGACTGAGGCCCCTGTATGCACATACACCGGAAGTAAGTAGGTTGGGACAGCCAGGTCCAGCTACTAGGAATGGAACTCTGTAACAAGAGCCAAGTTTAGACCCAAAAGAAGAAATTGTCTATGATGCTAAGCAAATAAAAAAATTATATATGGTTTTGAAAAATTGAGAGATAAAACCCATGGAAAATGAGATAGTGGTCCAACTTCAAGTACAGGTCTGACTGGATCAAGAGGAAGCTCGATTTTAGCTCCTGCATCATGATTGCCTGGCATGTTGTGATAAGAATAATTCTAAAACCACTGAGCTTACCAGGATAGGTATTAGTGCCCTGAAATTGACAGTCCTCTTCCTGGTGGCCTCTGAATACCTTTCCCAAATTTTATCATTATGAACATGGAGCCACTCAGGGCACTTAGCCCAAATGATGTCTCTATCAGAACAGAGATTGAGCAAACACTTGGGTTGGTGGACAGAAGATGGACTTTGTGGTCCAGCAGACTCCATTCATTAGCCATATGGCCTTTTACATAAACTCTGAGCCTCTATTTCCTCGTCTGTAGAAAGGAGGACATATACCTACCTTGGAGGGGTTATTGTGAGCAGTAAGAGAGCACAGTGCTTCATGAATGGGGCTTCAAAAAGGGCCATTATTACCATTATTTTAAGTAAGAGAGACTACCTATCTCCCCTAAACACCAGCCCTAGCATGTGTGTGCCCTTAGGAGGTACAGAACACACTCTCAGGGGGATGAGCTAACTCCACCTGGATCCAAGAAGCCAACTCCAACTTTTTGGGGATCTATTCAGATCAAGTCTAAAGTAGGAATTCCCAACCAACTAAGAAACTGGACCTTCAACCTCTATCAGCACAGGAGTCCCACTAAGTGTCTTCTTCCTCAAAAAAAATTCCTGAATAAGAGCAGAGCCTTGGAGAATTGCATCCAGCACATCCCAGTCAGCCTTTGCTGGGCGTCCATGTGCAGTCCTTCCTGCCAGAAGCCCAAGCCATGATGAAAATCCTCAATGGCACCTTACCAGGACCCTGAGTCAGCTGTGTCATCTGATTTCCAAAAGATCCAGTGCAGAACCATGAGTGTGTTGCTCACAGCCATATTCCAAGTGCCTGGAACCAAGTCAGTACTGCTACAATAAATATTTACTGACTGATTGAACTAGAGGCTATTCTCTAACATTGAATACTTATGAAACCTATTACAGGGGCCACAGGAAATAGAGAGCCCCTGTCCCATAAGCTCCAGGTACTTCCTGTGCACAAGAAGTCAGAATGGGGTTGCTGAATGTGAGACAGACTCAGACACCTTCCTTGGGCAAGAGAATCTCAAACTATTGCCTACATATACCTCTGCTTCCTGACTCGACTTCCTTGAATGCCTGGTTCTTTCTCCCACCCACCCATCCCTCCTCCCACCCTATGTTCTGCACTTACCAGACTCCTGGCTCCACCTGTTTCCACTAGGTGACCTTGGGCAAGTAACTGAACCTGCCTCAATTTCCATTTCTTTCTCTCCAAAAAAAAATAATTTTACCCACCTCAGGGGGTGTTGTGAGGATCAAGTAAATGGGCACAAGATTTTCCAGAGCCTTCAATAAATTAACTCTCTCAACTCATATTTATTGAGCATCTACCATGTGCTCGACACCTAGTAGAAATTCCCATAGAAGAAAATCTCCACCCAAACAGAGTTTCCAGTGTGGGGAGAGAAGGGGAGGGGCGGGAAAGGCAGGCAATAAGCAAGATGAATATGTAAAAATATACTAAGGCAGACGGGTGCTAATGAGAGATGGTTCAGCCTAAAAAAGTCCAGACATGCAAATGTAAATGGGGTATTCAGGGACTGCTTCCCTGAAAAGGTGACATTGGAACAGAGATCTGAAGGAGATGATAACATTTGCTGTGATTTTTGTAATGACTAAGTTAGAACCTCTGGGTAATGGGGCCCAGGATCCAAGTTTATAACAAGAACCTCAGGTGATTAGGATGCGTTAGACATACTTTGGAAAATACTGGACAAAGGGATCTCCCATAATAGTGAGAGGAGATCTGACTGGAATACCCTGCCAACTCCCGACAGCATCAGGGTGCAAAGTCTTACCTGGAGCCTCATCTGACATGGGTGACTGGCCTCTACCCACATCGCCCCTCTACCATCCAAGGTTTCCCTTGATCTTGAGCTGAGGCTGCCTCCTCCCCTAGCCAAGCTAATGATATCTTAGATCTCACCTGCTGGCATATCCCACCAAGACCATCTCACCTGATAGTTGTGATCTGGCCCAGGTTGAGCTCGTAGTTGTTGACTTGAGCAATGAAGATGGCAGCTAGGGCCTCATAGAGGGCAGTGCCATCCATGTTGACAGTGGCCCCCACAGGCAGCACGAACCTGGTGATGCGGCGGTCCACACCCAGGCCCTCCTCCAGGCAGCGGAAGGTAATGGGCAGTGTCGCAGAGCTGGGGGAGAGAGCCCCAGGGGTTGAGAGCAGGGGATGGTGACATGGGACTGGTGCAGCAATGGGCCAAAGGATTATTCCCCTTGACAACATTGGAAGGCCAGGTGGGAGCCTGAGCCAGGGTGGAGGGCAGGTGTCTAACATTCCAGAGGCTGATAACTGCATGGGAAAGAGGGAGTCCTCACAACACAGGGAGCACACAGCAACAGTGTCCTCAAGGCTAATGGTTCCTTGTCCCGTTGATGCCAATAACTTAAAGCTAATTACTACACTAGTTCATACCACACTAATTCATTCTATCAATCCACCTCGAGAAGGAAGAGCACAAGGGGTCTTCTGGCTTCCCTCCTCTCAGAGCTGAGGGCTGTTTCCAAGGACCACTATTCCTCCCTCCCCTGTCTGGTCAGGGAGTGACCTCAGCTACACTAACACTCTCGTTCTCTCACCCCACCACTTCCCAGAGGAGCAAGACTGACTTAACTGATTAGTGTGTTTCACCAAAAAAGTGGGCATCTCATTTGGGATCAGCCTGTCCACAAAACAAAACATGGGCTCTGTCTGGTCAGCTTTATGCCATGCAATGAGAAACCTGAACCCACAGAGAGGCCCTTTGGGTGTGCAGCCCTGTGGGGACCAGGAGGATTTAATTCTGGGGCACAATGGCATCAGTCTTACTTGACCACAGATCAAAAGACACATTCTCCAATCAGCACTGTTATGGGCAATTTAAAAAATGATATTTTTCTTCCATCCCATTGGTGTTTGTGATATTTTTCAAATTGTTTTGAATTTGGATAGGAAAAAGGAGAACTCTTTATTAACCACCTGAAACCACCCCCAAAAGGAGAAGGAAGCCAAGAGAGTTTCCAGACACCATCTCAAAGAGAGTGAGATCATCTGAGCTACAAAATTACTGAGAACAAGGGGCATATCGGAACCCTCATCTTCACCTCAAAAATGACAGCTGGTTCTCCTCCATATAAATTAGAGACATGGGAAAGGAGAAAAAGGGGTCAGGAGAGTCACCCAGGACAAAAGTCAGTGCCCAAGTGAGCCACCTTCAGGAACCCCTGACATTATTGAGCAACTCAGAACAGGTTCTGTAGTCGGGGGAAAGCAAGTATCCCAGAAGAGCCCATGAAAGACAAAGAATGAACCCAGGAAGGATACCAGTAGTGGAGACTAAGTCATACCTGGAAGACGTGCCCATGGCAGTGATAAGAGCCTGCAGCATGCCCCCAATAAAGGGGAATGGGTTCCGGTGGGTGATGAGGAAGTAGATCAGAGGCAGGACACCACCGGCATGGAGAAACAAGCCCACGATTACAGTCAGGGTGTACATGCCCAGCTGACCCCCCAGAACGGCCATGTCTTCCATCTCTAGGATCTTGCCAGCAATCAGGAACAGGATGCCCACAGGTGCATACCTGGGCCAAACCAGACACCTGTCAGGGCTTCCTCATCACTTCCCCTATAAGCCCGGAGCTGGCACCCCCAAGGCTTTGCCCATATAAGACCCTAGAGCCAGAAAGTACCCAGCATTCAGCACCCTACTTCACCCCAAACCTTCCCCACACATTAACAAATGGGACTAGGACCCACAAACACATCCCACTTCCTCTCCCTGCTCACCCACAGCTCAATCCCAGGCAGCAGAAAAGTTCCTACAACTCCAGGGCATGAAATCTTGTAAGACCTCTCCTTCATCCACACCCATTCAAGTTCTCCCAAAATTACTGTCTTCAGGACTCTTTCCCTAGACATCACCCAGACAATCCCTAGCTCTAGTCCTCTGACTCGCCTTATTTGCTCCCCAACTCTTTGTTCTACATTTGTCACTTTTATGCCCCTATTTTCTTTCCTATAAGTGCAGATTCTCATTCACCAGCCCTGAGCTGTTTCACCTGGATTTCCCACAGACATCTCAAGCAACCTATCTTATAGAATCATCTATTTATTTATTCATCCAACAAATATCTACTGAGCACCTACTATGTTGCCATCACATGGTCCCTGACTTTATGGTGCTTACATTCACACAGAAACGTGTAATTAAAAGCTTCCGGTGGTGAAAACTGCAAAAAAGAGTCATTGAGTGGGGCTGTTTAAGCATGAGTGGTCAGGAAGGGCTTCTCTGAAGAGGCAACTTTTAAGCTGAGGCCTGAATGCTGAGAAGGAACCATGTATATCTGAGAGGGAAGCATTGTGGGCACAGCACAAAGACCAAGATGAGCGTGAACTGGGCGTACTGGAGGAACAGAAAGACCAGTGTGGCTGGAGTGATGAGTGAAAAGGAGAGTAGAGGAGACAGAATAAGTGAGTTCTTCAAGGGCTCACCTGTTCGCCCACAAACCAGCCCATTGCTTAGTCTTGTGAGTTTCTGCCAGCAATGCCATCATTCACCCATCACCAGGCTTCAATTGTTATTGCTCTCTCTTTAGAAATTGAAGTCTGTACTTGGTCATTATCATGGTGGATGTACTGGAGGAGATTGGGGTCTCTGGGGAAGTTGATGCAATAGGTTGGGTCAGAAATGGTGAAACTCTAAGTCTGTGGGAATGAGGATGTGGCATCTTCTCCAACCACAGGGATCCCCAAATAGGGCTTAGGGTTAGCCCTCGTCAGTGGTTGTTGATTTATCTCCAAGTCTATAGCTACTTCTATGATTATTCTGCATACCCCTTTCTCAGGTCTCTCACCTCTATCCTTTCAGTTCATCCTCTGCAAAATTACTCCTAAACCCTGAATCCATTGCACATGACTTCTCTCCAATATTCAGCCTTCTGGTGCATATGGATATTTGCTCTCATCGTGCCAATGACACCACTGTAAAACCATGGTTCTGAATTCAGTTGAGCCTTTAATACCCCTTGTCAATTTTCTTGCTTAGCCTTAATAAGCTCCCCTTCCTTTCCCCCCAGCTGCCTTTCCAAGCTCATAAATTGGCCTCTAGTCCTCTATACAATTTTCAGGTTATTTTGGATAATGTACAGTCTTCCTCAACTTGAAACCAGAAAGTCTTGTTAACATCTTCCACCACTATTGCCAAGTTAGCATATGCTCCCACCTTCCTGAACTCCTCACCATGCTCCAAACAACTCAGGTTCTTTCAAGCTTTTCATGGTCTCTTCCCTCTGCTTGGAGAGCCTCTCCCCTGCTTCTGTCCTGTTGGATTCCTACTCACCTCTCAAGGCCCAGTTAATAGGCGACCTTCTCCATTACTCCCTCCTCACCTTCCCCAGCATAGTTTACCGCATGTCCCTCCATTGGCTCCCTCTTCCATGTTCACACTTTTTAATACCCTTTTACCACAGACCCTTCCCTTTTGCATTACACCGATCTAGTATATATGTCTGTCTTCCCCAAGACTTTGTGAGCTCCTTGAGGACAAGGAGTAATGCATCCCTGTATTCCAGAGTTCAAGACAAAGTCAATCTGGGAAAATGTCTGCTAAATAAGTGAAGAAATTAGTGAAGGTGTGAAGGAATTTTAAAAATGAATAAATGCATGCATCAATTAAAGAATAATTAGTGAATGGATAAATGCATAAGAAAATGAGCAAATGAAACTTGAGTGAGGGGGTGAGTGAACAAATTAGCATATTAAGTAAATGGATGAATGAATGCAAGAAATATCTGAGAGAGTAAATGCAGAGATGAATAACTGAGTCAAAGTGTGAGTCCAAATGAATAAATGACTTAGTGAGCAAATGAATTCATCAATCAATGGCTTTACTCATGAGTGAGTTTATGAGTGAGTGAATGTATGAATGAGTAAATTAACCAATGCATAGAAGAATGAATAAGTGAGTGAGAAAAGTGAATGAACCAATGCATGAAAAAATGAGTATAAATGAATAAACTAATAAAGGGATGATTTGGCCAATCCATAGAATACTGAGTGGATGCATAGATGAACAAGACAGTGAATGGACAATGCATGGAAGAATGAGTATAATGAAAAGTGAGTGAATGAATAGATGAACAAGGAAGTAAGTGAGTGACTAAAGCATTGCAAAAAAGAGTGAATAGATGAGCGATCAAATGAGTATATGAGTGAGTGAATTAACCCATATGTGTATAAATGATGTTGGCCAAATGGTCCCAATGACCCTGTCAGCAGCTACCCCACTGCCTGACTTCCCAGCTCTGGCTCCACCCTTCCCTGTGCCATCACCATTAACCCTCTCATAGTCCAGCACTCACCAGATAATGATGCCCACCAGCCTCATAATAGCCTCATTGAGGCTGTCAAAGAAGTCCCGCAGGACTCGGCCCTTGTGTTTCATGCCACCAATGACCAGCCCAAAGGCCACAGAGAAGACCACAAGGCCCAGGGCATTGATGCCATTAGCTGAGCCAGACACAGGCACAGTCTCCTCGAAGGTCAGCACCTCCTGCAGAGTGCCCAAGGCCCGAGTGACATTTTCCAGGAGGCTGGTTCCATTCTCCATTGAAGATGGAGGAGGCATGGAGGCGCTCTGCTCGGATCCATTCTCTGTCCTCACCACGGTCCTGGTTACCAGCCTTGTGCTGTACTGTGTCTTGAACTGGAATATGGAAAGATTGGGACCAAACTTGATTCAGTGGATGCATCAGTCACCTGGAAAAATGTCTTTCTAATACCAGTTCCAGGTTTCCACACCCTGGAGAGTCTTATTCAGTAAATATGAGTGAATAAATGAGTTGGTGAGTGAGTGAGTGAACAACCAAAGCATGGAAAAATGAGTATAGACTCTGCATTTTTCACAAGCTCTCTGGCCAATGATCAAACAAATTTGGGGGACTGTGTTCTCAACCATTTACAGTCAGAAGCCTTGGTTCCTCCTCTAGTACCATCCCCAGGAAGGCCTGGGCCTATGTTCTTCTCTCTAACCCTCCCTTGAACATCATGCAAATAGACATTGCTCTGCCAGGCCCTTCTTCCAACCCTTCACACCTTAACCACTCATTCATCAGAAAGCTCCCCCCACCCTACAAGCCTCCTTGATTGAACTGTGTACTTCCCCCTGACCTGTTTGAAGCAGGCCTCCACAAGGTTGGGTGGAAACATATTTCTGCAAAAAACATAAGATGAAAGGAAGGGGTTAGATGTTGGAAAGTCATCTAGGATGATGATAATGATGATGATGAAAATAATAATAATAATAATGGCAGCAAGGGCAACAGTAATAATGGTAGCCAACATTTCAACACTTATTCTAGTCCAGGCTAAGTAAGCTAGCTAAGTGCCTTACCTATATGATCTGATTTAAACACTACAATAACTCTAAAAGTGAGTGCTATCAATGGCCCCATTGTACACACACCCCCCAAAAAGGACAAAATATTTAGGTAAGTTACCCAGCCACACAGCTGCTAAGGGGTGCAGATGGACCTCAAATCCAGGCCTGTCTGAGCCCTTTAGTAGGATCCTATGCTGCCATAGGGACTTCAATTCATACACATATGCCTCAAAAAAAATAAAATAAATCAGACTGTTCCTGCACTCCACCAACTCCCGCCAAGTCAGTGGCTAGGGTAGAACTGTAGCTAGCCTTGATCTAGCTGGAAAAATCTTGTTGTTCCAACAGATCTTGGGAAAACCAAACACCACCTCTCCTGAGCCTATCCCAAGACATAGCTTCTCTAGGCTAATGATCAAAATATCCTCCCCTGGGAGTCGGATGCTCTTGGAGGAATTGTGCAAGGTTCCAAGACAGAAAATGGGTACCAATAAAGCTAGGTTCAATCTGGAGGTTGTGTTTACAGGCTGGATTGGCCTGTTTCCCTTTGTCTCTCCTCAAGTACAGGTTGTTGCACATATGGCCAGAATTCCCATCAAAATTAGAAAGGACGTCACCTGACCAGGTCCATGAAGGCATCAGCTGTAGGGATGGTCTCGATCCGGCCCTCACGGTGCAGCCCCTCCTTGGAGCCCTTCCCAGGGTGGATGATTGTGACCATGAGGATGCCAATGAAGACCGCAATGACGGTAGTCACCATGTAGTACACAGCTGCCCGCATCCCCATCCGCCCTGTCGCCTTGTTATCCAGGGATGCCATACCTGGAGGACATGTGGTGCAGCCACAAGCATCTCCCTCCACACCCCACCACCCACTTTCCCATCCATCCGCTCCTCCCTCCCCACTCCACCAGCTCTACAACCATTCCACCAAGCGCCCCTTCCTCCTGTACCCCCCCCAGCACCCACACCATTACCCTTGACATATTTCATCATTCTTCAACTCCATGCTATTTTCTATATACGTCTTCCACTCCATCCTATGTCCCAAGCACTACTTCACTAAGTTTCCCTCTACTGCAAGACAACCTTTTAAACCCCATACAATCCTCCATTTACCCCTATTTTGCACTGTAACTTCACTTTCACTCCATTCTTCATCCCACTATTCACCCCATAATGACACCTCCCTGCAACCCAGCCACTGTACACTCTCTGTAGTGGATGTTTTTGGTGTCCTCTCCAGACACTTTTACCAGGCTGATACACCTATCCTTTAGCTGTGGAGTGTGTTAGCTGCTAACAGTTCATGCCATCCCCTTCCCTTAAGAATGGTGCTCAGCTAAACAGGAGTTGCCTGACCCAGAAAGGCCCCATGGGAGACCTACAGCCAGTGATTGGCTGGTACAAGGATTCAAAGATCCAGCACCTTTGACTCCGATGGGAAGAGTTGGGAGGAAAAATTCAATGTTGTGGCCCTTGCTCCAGAGCTCCCTGTGGGATCAGGCCAACAGGCCAATCTTCTCCAGAACCCACATCTCTGCTTAGCTTTTTTCCCCACCCCAACCTGTTCCCTCACTTCCTCATGAGTTTCTTTTGAGAGCTGCCCTCAAGAAATCGCTTGTTCACCTATATACCCATCTCAGGCCCTGTTTCCAGGAAACCCAACCCAAGAAACCATTCTTTCATGCCTTTACCTTCATGCTTATCCCAAAATCTGGAGACTGGCAATCAACCACCCAGGGGCCAAATCTGGCCCACTGCTTGCTTTTATAAATACAGTTTTATTAGAACATAACCACACCCTTTGTTTACATATTAATCTGCATCTGCATTAGTGCTATAAAGGCAGAATTGAATAGTCACAAAGGAGACCCTACAGCCTCTAAAGAGGAACTATTTACTATCTATCCCTTTACGAAAAGTGTGCTGACCCCTGCATAGTCCATCCATGCTTCCATCCAACCCCAACCCACCTCCATTTCAAACACCTTCATCCACATCACTCCCTGACCATCCATGCCACATCCCAGCTGCCTTCCCGGGTTGCCCCACTGCAGCCTTCCTTTCACGTCTGCATGATACTAAGTTCCTGGCAGGCTGGTATTTTGTCTTCAGTGGGAAGTATAGGAAAGTTACTGAGATAAATAGTGTAGGTCATATGGGGTCTGGAACCTGGGTCTGATTTGGCCAAGGACTCTGGGCTGGGCATACACTCAGTGTTTGAGGTCCTTAGTTGAGGAGTGGCCCCATGCTTGGGACCACTTTGGCTCCAGGTTTGACCTTGGGCTGTGGGTGGGTCTTAAAGGCCAACACTGGCCTGGGCTCTCTCACCTGTGACCAGACTGGAGACGATGAGCGGCAGCACTAGCATTTGCAACATCCTCATGAGAAGCTCTCCAGGGAAGGAAAAGTACTTGATCTGGCGGTAGGTGAGCTGGTATGGGCGCAAGGCAAAGGCCAGGCTGACCCCTAGGGCCAAAAAGGTCCATGGAGTGCAGTTTGAGTCACTCAGGCACAAGCAGGGGCCATCCATCCCAAAAAGAGTGTGTGTGGATGGGAGTTAGAAAAAAAGAAACATTCTATGTGTATGTATGCACATTGTAGAAATGTATGGATTTATGTGTTACCATGTTGACACAGTGTAAATTTGTGTGTAAAGGTTAGCACACATGCATGCATGTGACAGCAGACACTCATTCGTGCATGTGTCTGTGCTTGTATATGTGAGCCCATGCACATGAAATGCACACGGTTTTCCTGTGTGTGTATATAGTGTGACCCTATGTATACAGTTTTCAAACATGCAAGTGTGTGTGTATTTAAGCTCATAAGTGTGTTGATATGTGTGCAGAGGAATGCATGTGCTTGTGTGGATGTGTTTGTAAGTTCCAGTATGTGTGCACTGTGTATTTACATGTTTGCAACTGTAAGCTCTGTGCATGCATAAAAATAATGTGTTCATGTTTGTGTTCATATGCAGAAAGCATGTTTGTATAGTATACACAAGTGTGTGTGTGTACACATACATATCCATGTAACATTGTGTGCACTGTGGGAGTGTCCTGCCCTGGGAAGTTGGGGTCGCTGGTAGGACAAGATGTGTGCATGCGTGCAGGTGAGAATGAGTCTGTGGAATGAAGAGATGAGCACGCAAGGAATTTCCCTGCAGTCCCCGCCCTCCCAGCCCACTCACCTATGATCACAGCACTGACGGTCAGCAGGATGAAGGCGTTCCTGCGCATGAAGCGCAGCACATGCTCCCGGGTCATGGTCTGCAGGCGCAGGCGTGTGCGCAGCGCTCTCTGCTGCATGCTCTCCTGCAGCTGCTGCAGCCAGCCCACCCTGCCCAGCCGCTGGCCACTCTCCCGCAGAAACAGGCTGTTGCCGTGGCTGCTCATTGTCTATCTGCTGGGGACAGAGGGCCAAAAGACCAGGGCCTGGTGAGGGTCAGGACAGAAGACAGATGTGGGCAAAGGGGGAAGGGTGGGTAGGGCAGAGGAAGCTGCTGAGAAACTCAGAGAGTATCCTGACAGTGGGAAAGGGATGATGTCTTTTGGCTGGGATGTTCTGGGGTATGGGACAGCTAAGATCACTGCCCGAGGTTCAAAGGTCATGTCCTAGAAAGGGTCAAGGTCTCAGAATTGCTTCCTGGTTTGGCTGGGAGAGGCAGGAAAGGAGACCATAATATAATAGGCTCTTTTGCCATCCCCTGACTCACAAACCAACCTAACAGAGCTTTCCTGAGTGCCAGCTGCATGCAGAGTCCTGGACATGGTACCTTGGGGCCAGACAGGAAACCAAATTAATATGGTTTCCTGTCTGTCCTGGAGGTGCTGACAAATGGGCTTTAAATAACAAAATCAATGACAGCAAGTGCCTGGTAAACAGTGGGTGCCCAGTAAATGCAGCTGCTTGCCTAAGTGCCTGAGTGAGCAACAGGAAGAGGGGGGAGTCCCTTGGGAAGGAAACAGTGACAATCCTTGACCCCAGTGGCTCTTTAGGAGGGATCCACCTGACTGATCCACCTTTGAAGGGAATGTGATGCTCCCTTCAGAGTCTCTCTGGGGCACCAGGCACTGTTTCACCAACTTCTGGTTTTGTGTTTCCTCTTTAAATTTGCCCACATCCATATAATCATATTTACGTCCTAAATAAATGTATCTAAAATGGAAACTTTAGATACTTTAGGTCTTTAAGTCATTATTTGAACTGCTAATTATGTTTTAGTACACATTAAATAAAATGCATATAAAAATAAATGCCTGCCTATTCTTTTACCAGCTAAACACCTTACATGTATAGGGCAGCTTGGCAATTGTCACTGGTATTGGGCCTGAGGAATTTTACCTCAGAGATTCCTTTCTCCATTAAAAAAATGTTAAAATTGTATTTTACAACTGCTTTGGTATAAAGGTGAATATATTATCTTGGAACTAGGTAGAGGTGATGGTTGTACAGTATTGCAAATGTACCAAATGCCACTGAATGCCACTTTGAAATGGTTGGTTTTCTGTTATATGAATTTCACCTCATTATATATTAAAATATTTTCTTTGACTCAAAAGTTTAATTCTTTCTCCTGATTTTTAAAGAAGTGAAAACATTTCTGTGGGCGCTAGGCCCTGGGCCTCCAGTTCCTGAAGGACAGGCAGCCTTGCCTACACTGATCCCACAGCAAACATGTGGCAGTTCCCCCATTCCACTGGGAAATCTGTTAGTCCTCCAGATGCATTCATCCATTCCAGGTACAAGGCTGGCCACTAGAAATGACATTGCCCAGGCTCTCTTGCCCACTGGCTCCCCTCTGGGTCAGGCCAGTGGAAGGCAAGAGGAGAGCGGAGGGTGGGGAAGAGATGGAACAGTAATTCTCCCAGCTTCCCGAGCCACGCCCTGCTTGGCAGGGGCTGTGTTCCTCCACCCACAGCTCCCATCACACAGTCCTCTGTGCCTGTTGGCCATTTCGATGCCTTTCCTGGAAAAATGTCTGTTCAGGTTGTCTGCCCATTTTTAATCGGATTTGGGGGGGTTGTTATTGAATTGTATGAGTTCTTTATATATTTTGAATATGAACCCATTTTCCAATATACAGTTTCTAAAACTTTTCTCCCATTCTGTAGGTTGCCTTTTTGTTTTGTGAACAATCTTTCTTTTGCTGTGCAGAAACTTTTACATTTGATGTAGTCCCACTTGTTGGGTTTTGTTTTTGTTACAAGTGCTTTTGGTGTCACATCCAAAAATCACTGCCCACTATCAAGGAGAGTCTTTCCTATGTTTTCTACCTGGAATTTCATGGTATCAGGCCTCATGTTTAAGCCTTTGATCCATTTTGAGTTAACTTTGGTGAGTGGTGTGAAGTAGGGGTCCAGTTTCATCGTTCTGCACACAGCACCATTTGTTGAAAAGACTATCTTCTCCCCATTGGATGTTCTTGGATCTCTTGACGCTACAGGTTCTGACTCTCACAATAATGGCAATCATATTATAATATATAAGTGTATCAAAACAACATGCTGTATACCTTAAATTTTCTCAATGTTACATGACAAATATACTTCAGTTTTAAAAAATGATAATTCTGTTACAGCCACCACTGTCCTTGGGTCTCTGTCCTGCTCCCCCCCTGAGAATCCCTACTCCTGCTGTCCCAGCCATACTGGTTTCCCTTAACCCTGCTCACCCCTTTGTAAATAGTCCTTATCTTACTCTTTTTAATCCCCCCTTTTGAGCATGCTGTTTCCTGACTGATACACCAGATTCACCTCACTGTTAGAAAAAACTCTCAGAGCCAAATGAAGGCATTAAGTGTTGTATACTGTGTGGAACTCTGTGCAAGTTTGCCTGGGACTGCCAAACCAGGAAGAACTTGGCCTTGCCCAGCTAGTCTCTGAGGGATCGCAGCTTCGGATTCCTTGCCTCGCCCCACCCCCACTGACTAAATTCATACAGGTCAGAAATGGGAGCCTGTTGGAGGTCTCAGTTCCACCAGCAGGTAGGTGCCTGGACTTTTTGGTTTTTGTCTGCCACTGGCTGAGCAGCTACTCTTTTGAGGTCACTGTCTTTCTTGTCCTCCTTGCTCTCCCCACATCTGAGAGGTGAGTCATCTGCCTCAACTTTCCAGGTCTAAGCTCCAGGTCCCCAGTGCCGAACCCCAATTGGGGTCCTGCTCCAAATGAATCCATTGATGCTGCTTCTTACCTTGCTATAAAAAATCCCAGACATGGGACCACACACAACATAGGAAACTTGTAATTTCTCCCTCTCCTCTAGGATGTATGTTTCCAGGCACTGAGTGGTAACTCCAAGTTGCCTGCGGGTCCCACAGAACTGTTCAGCTGAGATCTAAACTAGCCACAACAACTCCAGAGCTAGTTTTCTCTCTTTCCTTTCTCTTCCTTACAAAAAGTAGCATGGTATAAAGCAGGCATGAACAAACTATAGTCTGAGGGCCAAATCCAGCCCACTGTTTGTTGTCATAAATAAAGTTTTACTGGAACACAGCCACACTCATTCCTTACGTATTGTCTATGTGCTATAATGTCTGAGTTGAGTTGTTGGCACAGACATTATGTGGGCTGCAATACAGTTTCTAAGGCCCTTTAATGAGAACATTTGCTAACCCCTGATCTTGTAGGAGAGAATGTCTGAGCTCTTGTTTCAAACTCCATTCCACCTTGCAGGCACAAGTCAATTTCTATATGGATTAGATGGCCCAATTCAGGTGATGCTTAGAACAGCACCTGGTGAGCATGAAGTGGATGCCACCTGTGGTGCATGAAAAGGAAAAACCGAACAGACTCATGACTGAGAACAGAGAAAATGCTGAAGCCGGAGGGTGTCTTCCTATCAACTTTTCTCAGTCCCATCTGCATCATTTGTTAAGCAACACTTGACTTGAAGTGGTTTTTCCAGGACCCTGGCTTACTTGGGCCTTTCTCAATCTCTCTTGGACTCCTGGGGGCTTCTCCCCTCACTCTGAGTTCTCTCTTTTCACCATGAGGCTCTCCTGATGCTGGAAGTCTTTTTACCCTCTTTCTTGGGCTTCCTGCTTAGGAAATGGCCCTTCTAGTGCCTCAAGTCTCTGCACAGATTCAAGGACTGGTCTCCCACCAGTTCCCCCAACCTCAAATGAGACTCAAATGAGAAGTGCTGGTGGCCCCTCCGAGCCCAGGCAGAAAGAAAGAAGCTCTTCCGTTCTAACACTGGAAACAAGCTATGGGAGACAAAGCACGTTTGCTTTCCATACTTTTTATCTCAACACTCTGCTAGCCTAGTGGGAAGAGTGAGGGGAAAGAGAGGACGGAAATCACACGCATCACACATCACACACTTCTCTTGTGTGCAGTTGACACATACACAGCCACACAGGCACACAATCACACAAAAAACTGTTCAGACACATAGCCCATGCACAGCTTCAGAAATGCAATGGCACTCATGCAGCTTCAGATACACAGTTCCTACACACACGAACACATGCACACACACTCGCCACATTCATGCACACCATCCAACACACAACCCACATTCCTCTTCAAACATACAACCCCGCACACACTTTTGCAGCCCTACACAATGCCCTTTGTAAATGAAACTCCAGACATGCAGTGACAACCAATTCCTACACACACCCACACATACACACACACACAGACACACACACACACCCCTTGGGACACAGTACCACAAACTTCAAACGTTCAAATTCATTCCCACATTTAAATATTCAGGCACACACACTTCCTTCTTTTAAAAAGAAAATCCTCACCAGAGAATATGTTTTTATTAATTTTAGAGAGAGAGGAAGGGAGAGAAAGACAGAGAGAGAAACACTGATGTGAGAAAGAAACATTGATTGGTTGCCTCCCACAGGAGCCTGGTCAAATGGTCGAACCCAAAACCTAGATAGGTACCCTGACCAGGGATAGAACCCACAACTCTTTGGTGCAGTGGATGACGCTCCAACCAGCTAAGCCACCAGGCCAGGGCAGCACACACCTCTTTTTTTTGGAATGCAACCCCACTCATAAATTGTCCCAAACACGCATACATCACCACCACCTCCCACATATCTTTGGACCCAGCCCCCCTGCAGCGGTAGCAAAGTCTCAGTCACAACCAGGTCTGTCCGAGTTGGAGGAATAAACCCTCCGATAGATAAGGGACGGCGCCCTGGAAAGGTTCGAGGCACCAGGCGTAGAGCTGGAACTTGCCCAGGAGTGGAGGTCACAGAGAGAGGAAAGGAATGTGGGCGAGGAAGATGGGCAGAGACCCGGGGGTAGGAAACTAATGGTAGGAAACGCAAAAGGCTACCGGGAGGTGAGCGGTGGCAACTACTCTTAAAGGGCACCGAAGCGCTGGCTGCATCAAAGAGCGGCCAGAGATGGCGCCTCACACGCCTGACCCCAGGGTGGGCCGATCCCGCCGAGGATCCCGCCTGGGATCCCTCCTGCCTTGAGCCCCAGGGCCCCTGCGCGTGCGGGGCCGCGGTATCCCCACTCACCAGTGTCCGCAGCAGCGGGGATGGCTGCCTGCACCTTGGCCTGTACGCTGCGTCCGAATGCAGGAGCCGGAGCCCCGCACAGCGCCCGGCTTGGGCAGCGGGGACCCGCCAGGGACAGCACAGCACTGTCTCTGGGACCAGACAGCGGAAGCACCAGCGGGGAGCCGGGACGCGCTGTGCAGCTGGGGGTTCGGGGCAGGCCTTGCGCTCACGTGGGTGCGGGGGAGCCCGGAGGCCCGGGGAGGGGGCGGAATCCCCTCCGGGATGCCCCCCTCCTCCCCGGCGCCCAGACTCCGCAGCAGCTCTGGAAAGGGGGCACCGGTTGTTTGCGGTAGGAGGGGGTTCCTGGGATGGGCGGGGTGGGTGGCCTCTCCTACGTCCAGCCCCCGCCCCCAGCGCAGAGCCGCGCCTTCGAGCCCCCGCCTCCCGCCTCCCGAGACCTCCAGAGGCCTGAATATCCCTGGAGAGAGAGCACCAGCTCCTGGCACCACTGGACACGGCCCGCTCCTGCATCCTGGGCGTAGGCCTGGGGAAAGCATTGATGCGAGCATTCCAGTGACCGCAGCCACCGCGGGGGCTCCTCAGCCCAGCTTCTCCCTTTGGGTGCACTTTCTGGCCTTCGCTGCTGTGTGCCCTTGGGCCAGCCCTTCTCCCTCTCAGAGCCTGGCCTCCTTATCTAAATAAACAACGGATATGACTCTGCTGACCCAACAGAAAATTAAAGCTCACCAGTGTGGAAATGGGTCGTGCAGCCGCTGTGCAAAAGGGAGACGAATAATTCCTGTTACTCTTGTAATTAATATTATTCTCAGGTAATGTTGACCCTGCTTTTCTTCTCAAATGGTACTGTCTTACGGCTTCCAACATCTCCCACCTCTCTGAAGGCTAATTGCCAGTTTTAAAGGGTGAGCACAGAGCCATGCACCTGATGTAAAAATCAATATATATCTGCTTATTAATGTTGATGTTAGCGACCAATTGTTGATGGCATCTCGCTGGACTACACAGGCTCTTTTACTTATATTTAAACTGCACATGCCAGTGAAGTAGATATCACCACCTCCAGTCGCAGAGAGGTTCGGTGACTTGCCCAAGAGAGAGCCAGAGAGCGGCCACCACAATTCCAACTCTTTGTGCATACAGCCAGGACTCTCCTCCTGGACAAAGCCTCCTGTCTATCAATAGGTGGTTCTCAAACTTAGCAGTGCCATAGAAACACCAGGGGAGATTTGAAAACTTTGAGTCCCCCCGTGGCTCCCAGACCAGTCTCACCAGCATGCCTGGGCTCAGGGCTCAGGGATCAGGGCTCAAGCACAGCGTACTTTAATGCTCCCCAGTGATTTCAGTATGTGGCTAACTAAGGTCGAACCCCTGCACTAGATGTCAGGTTCTCCTGCAACCCTCTCAAAAGCCTCTCACTCCCTCCGCCTCAGTCGCAGGCTGTGCACGGATGAGTCTGCATCCTTTTCCAAGCCTAGAGCTGTCTCTGAGCTCCTGGCTCTTGCAGTCACTCCCTTCACAAATAGAGTCTTGGTTGTGCACCAGGCTCTACTAGAGACCAGAGACTGAGCAGGGAAGACAGAGCACCCTTGCTCTTTTACAAACTATTGGGTCTCAGAACCCCTTTACACTCTTGAAAGTTATAGAGGACCCCCAAAGTCACAACCCCAGGCTAATCATGACCTTTTTTTCAATCAGACAAATTCCAGTAAGGTGCATCCTACAATAAATCTGACCAGTGCTCCTCAAAACTGTCAAGTCATCAAAAACAAAGAAAGTCAGAGAAACTATCGTAGGAGACTGAAGGAGACATGATGACTAACTAATATAATATGGAGTCCTGCAGGGGCTCCTGGGACAGAAGAAGAAGGTTAACAGAAAACTGAGGGAATCTCAATAGAGTATGGACTTTAATAATAATGTATCGATATTGGTTCATTAGTTATAACAAACATATACTAGTAGACAATATTAATAATAAAGGAAATTGGGGGAGTGGAAAGGATATGGGAATTCCCTGTACAATCCTTTCAGATTTCTTGTAAATCTAAGATTATTCTAAGAAATCATGCCTATTGATTGAAATAACCCTATATAGTACAGGGAATCAAGTCAATAATGTAATAACTTTGCATGGTGACAGATGGCAACTGACTTATTGTGGTGATCAATCACATAGTAAGGTATGTAAATGTTGAATCACTATGTTGTACACCTGAAGCTAATATAATATTGTATGCCAATTATACTTTAATAAAAAATTTAATGAAAATAAAATAAAATAATAAGATCCTAGAGGACCAAGAATTTGTATCTATATAGGTTATACCTGTTCATCTTTACTATGTTAGAAATTAAAACTGAGAAAGTTTTAAAATATTTACTCATTTTAACATGACATAAAGAAAATATTTTTATGAAAAATAACATTTTCAAAAACAAGAAAAAATTACTGAGAAGACAGGCAAAGTGTCGCAGTTTTGCAAATTGCTTTGATGTCCAGCTTAATAGAAACAAAGTGGGATTCTCACACAGTTGATCCTTATTACATTCAGACTCCATGTTAGTGAATTCATCCACCTGCTTAAACTTTCCTGAAGCCCAGAATCACCGCTTGTGGCACTTGTATGGCCATTAGTCGGCGTGCTCAGAGTGATGCCAAATTTGAACTGGCCAACAGGCACGTTCCCATTTGAGGTGGCGCAAGGCCATTCTCTGCCTTCTTGGTTCAGTTGTCATACTGTAAAATATGTCCTTTTCATGGTCTATTTGATGCCACTTTTTTCTCATTTTTGTGCTTTTTGTAGGCTTTAAAATGGCTCCCAAGCACAGTGCTAAAGTTTGTTAGCATAAGAATGCTGTGCTGTGCTTGTGGAGAAAATGCATTAGACAAGCTTCATTCAGGCGTGAGTTGTAATGCTGTTGGCTGTGAATTCGATGTCAGTGAACCATATAGAGATATTTATGTATTATTATATATGGTATATATATATATATAAGAGGTTTCTTGAAACAGAAACACCTGTAAAACAGAGTTAAGTAGTGATTGGCTGATGACTGCTTGACAAAAATTTTGTGAGCAGAGGCTCACAGCATCCTAACCCAGTATATCTCCCTAGGAACAATAGTTTCTTCACTAATTCAGTGTTTGCCCAACTTTATAGAATAAAACTACCATGAATAATGAGAAAGAAATATATCTTATGCATTGAATCTGTCAGGATATGTTATTTTGATTGAAGTATATGAAGAAAGTTTAACCTCACATGAACAAGTACTTTGAAAAAGAAAGAGTATTTTGATCAGCTTCTCAAGTAAGTGTGACTATTTTTTGAGACCACACTAAAACTCAACACACTCTAGTTTCTTAAAGAGTAGTTGCATTGTGGGGTCTGAATTGTCAGTGAAGTTTTTGTACTTTTTAAGTTAACATTAAAATCCATTGAGTGCATCTTTTCACCTGAGCATGATTTTAAAACATTGCACTAGTCATTTAAAAAATATCAGTTCACTGAGATAGATCTTCCAAATATTAAAACATTTTATTATTCAGTATCCAAAATGAATGCAAAAAAGTCCACAGTTAACAAATATCAGCATTTCCAAAGAAAGACAGAATCAGAATTCCTGATTTTCCTTTTGCTTCTGGATGCCATATGGCTTCACTCAACACTCACTGATTCTGTCTTTAAATTTTTATACACAGTTTTTCATGAATAAATTCCAGGGGGTGTTGAAAGAGTCCCTCCTCACATTTCACTGCTTTGAAATGAGACATAAACCTAGAGTTGTTGTCTATCTCATTACCCTATTCATTTTGGGGTTTTTTTTTGTTTGTTTGTTTTAAGATTTTACTTATTTTTAGAGAGGAGAAAGGAGAGAGAGAAACATCAATATGTGGTTGCCTCTAGTGCATCTCTCCGACTGGGGACCCTGCCACAACCCAAGCATGTGCCCTGACTGGGGATCAAATGGGTGACCCTTAGGTTCAGAGGCCGGCACTCAGTCCACTGAGCCACACCAGCCAGGGCCCTATTCATTTATTTTTAAACCATTTTATTGAGGTATAACTGACATGTAAAAAGCTGAACACACTGTATACAACTCAATGAGTTGGGGGATAAGTATACACCCAGGAAACTATCACCACCATCAAGGCCATAAACATACCCATCACCTCTCAAAGTTAATATGCCAATGTTACTCATTTTAATTACTTTTGGTACTCCCTTGCATTTTGCACCCAAACAGAGTGCCCCACTCTTACCCTCACCCTGGCCCTCTGAGTCTCTCTCTCATTCTCTCAATAAGGGAAAGGCTACTCGCTCCCCTTTCACAGATGTAAAAGGGATTCACAAGCCACCTTGTTAAGCCAGAGTCTGAGCCCACCTCAAGTCCACTCTGACCAGTGGCTCCGACTGTGGCCCTGGCAGTAGGCAGGCAGGCCAGCCCAGATGGAGCAACCCCATGCTGTCCCAGATGACTGCCCTGTGTGTGGGGTGGGGCCTGAGCAGAGACTGAGACAAGAGGAGCCTGAGATAGGAGGAATCGAGGCTAATTCCTCTGTGTGAAGCGCTCCCTATTAATTAATTAGGGCAGAGCTGGCCTGAGGCATCCCCGCAGCCCCCAGAGTCATTAAGGGAGAGGGGGGTCTCATTATCAACTGTCAGATTCCCCATCGTTCCCAAGGCCCCAGAGGGAGCAGAGGAGGAGGGAGAGAAGGCCAAGGCCAGGTCCCTTCTTCTCCAGCCAGTGCCCCCACCACTCCTCATTACCAGAGTGGCCTGATATGCAAGTACAGTGTCTGAAACTGCAAGCAGAATTTCAGGGGAGAAAAAGTGGAGAGTCAGAGATAAGGGCATGTTTATCCCCCGCTCCACCGCAAATTCAACCTGTATTTATACTGATGTGAGATATTCAGAATAGGTGCATCTACAGAGACAGAAAACAGATTAGTGGTTGTCAGGGGCTGGAGCGGGGAAGGGATGGAGAGCAACTGCTCAGGGGTGCAGGGTTTCCTTTGGGGGTGATGTAAAAAGTTCTGGAACTAAATGTTGGTTGCACAATATCATGAATGTACTTAATACCACTGAAGTGTGACTTTTGAGTGATTGCAGTGGCTATGGTGGTACTTATTTGCAACATACAGATATATCAAATCATCACATTCTTAAATTTACATGATATATGTCAATTATACCTCAATAAAGCTAGGAAAATGGTTACAATAGTAAATTTTGTTATGTGTACTTTACAATAAAACATTGGCCTCCTTCTAGCTCATGATTATTTACTCAGCGTTTATGAGCACCTGTTTTGTG